CATATCCCAACCCATACCCGAACCCATACCCCCACCCATATCCCCACCCATACCCCCACCCATATCCACATCCATATCCTTATCCATTTGCATGCTGTATGGTGTCCTGGCAATCTGGGTTGATCTGACACTGTGGAGTTGCTTGCTTGTGCGTCGTTTGTGGAAGGAGCGCGTTTATATACAGCACAACCGTCTATGGAAATATCTTCCGATTGGTTCTGGCACATGTCGTTTCATATGTTTAGCATTGATAATCATGTTTGATGAACTTTGGCGGCAGGGGTTTTCATTCTGGGCAATCAGACTGATCTGATATCAGAATCATGAGGTTATATTGACGATGTGTTCAGCAGGTGCTTTGGACGACAAACAAGCAGTCAGCATCTTCTCCCAGTAGCAGCAAGGTCATAACGATGTTGTAGATAGCGGTGTGGTCACTCCTTCTGGTTCCCCACTCCTTCTGGTTCCCCATGTCTGGGGCTGTCCATCAGGCATCACTTACACAGAGCGGTATTAGTGCTAAAACGGCCACAATTCCTTCACTGGCCTTCACTTTTTGAAAGGGGCAACGGGCAGTTATAGGGTAATAACCTGATGAAAGTTTACAGCAGGAACATGATTGACTCAAGGCATTTATTACCTATACCATTGTCTGTATGAACAACATTGTCACACATACCACTGCCGGTATAAACAACATCATGACAAGGACCACTGCCGGTATAACAACATCATGACACGTACCACTGCCGGCATTAACATTATCATGACACGTACCATTGCCGGTATAACAACATAAAGACAGGGACCACTGCCGGTATAACATCATGACACGTACCACTGCCGGTATAACAACATCATTACACGTACCACTGCCAGTATAACAACATCATCATTACACGGAAGAGTACCGGTATAACAACATCATGACACGTACCACTGCAGGTATAACAACATCATTACACGTACCACTGCCAGTATAACAACACCATGACAGGGACCACTGCCGGTATTAACAACATCATGACAGGGACCACTGCCGGTATAAACAACATCATGACAGGGACCACTGCCGGTATAACAACATCATGACAGGGACCACTGCCGGTATAACAATATCATGACACGTACCAGTGCCGGTATAACAACATCACGACACGGACCACTGCCGGTATAACAACATCATGACACGGACCACTGCCGGTATAACAACATCATGACACGGACCACTGCCGGTATAAACAACATCATGACAGGGACCACTGCCGGTATAACAACATCATGACAGGGACCACTGCCGGTATAACAACATCATGACACGGACCACTGCCGGTATAACAACATCATGACACGGACCACTGCCGGTATAACAACATCATGACACGGACCACTGCCGGTATAACAACATCATGACACGGACCACTGCCGGTATAACAACATCATGACACGACCACTGTCGGTACAACATCATGACACGGACCACTGCCGGTAAACAACATCATGACACGTACCACTGCCGGTATCAACAACATCATGACACGTACCACTGCCGGTATAACAACATCATGACACGTACCACTGCCGGTATAACAACATCATGACACGTACCACTGCCGGTATAACAACATCATGACACGTACCACTGCCGGTATAAACAACATCATGACAGGGACCACTGCCGGTATAACAACATCATGACAGGGACCACTGCCGGTATAAACAACATCATGACGCGGACCACTGCCGGTATAACATCATGACACGTACCACTGCCGGCATTAACAACATCATGACACGAACCATTGCCAGCATCAACAATATCATGATACGTACCACTGCCGGCATACAACATCATGACACCTACCACTGCCAACATCAACAACATTATGACACGACCCATTGCCAGCATCAACAACATCATGACACGTACCACTGTCGGCATTAACAACATCATGATAGGGACCACTGCCGGTATATCAACATCATGACACGTACCACTGCCGGTATAACAACATCATGACAGTGACCACTGCCGGTATAACAACATCATGACACGGACCACTGCCGGTATAAACAACATCATGACACGGACCACTGCCGGTATAACATCGTCATGACACGTACCACTGCCGGTATAAACAACATCACGACAGGGACCACTGCCGGTATAACATTATGACACGTACCACTGCCGGTATATCAACATCATGACACGTACCACTACCGGTATAACAACGTCATGACACGTACCACTGCCGGCATAAACAACATCATGACACGTACCTCTGCCAACATCAACAACATTATGACACGAACCATTGCCAGCATCAACAACATCATGACAGGGACCACTGCCGGTATATCAACATCATGACACGTACCACTGCCGGTATAACAACATGACATCATATACTACAGTAGTATACGTACATTTACCTCTGTTACATTTTTACTTTAGTCTATTTGTTTTACATTGTTGCCAGTCCGGTTGTCAGACTGAAATTTGTGGGAATTTACACACTGTCACTATTACAGTGTTCATTAACTTGCTTTTATTCCCTATTCCGGCTGTTCCCTTTTTATTGATACTTCCCTTCAAATTTACAGATTTAAATATGCAAGAGCCCGAATGGCCGTGCTGTTTGTGCAGGGCCAGATTTTTGCTGGTTTAATAGGGCCAGTCCGTCCATGTTTTATCCCCATAACGAGTGATCATTGCCATGTTCAACATTTTTTGATAGACACGCTTGGGGATCGACCTTTGTTTCAAATCAAATAATCTATGGGAAATCCATTGTTTTGTTCAAGGGCAAACTCAACACGATTCCAGCTATATGACGGTAGTCTGTAAATAATCAAGTCTGGACCAGACAATCCAGTGATTGACATCATGAGCATCGATCATCGCAGTCGGGATATGATAACATGCATCTACCATGTCAACAAACCTGAAGTACCGATCACATTAGTTGCATATTAGGTGAGGCATGGGTTGCTGAAGATGAATTCTAACCCACATATTCATGGAATATATTATAAACATGTTTATGTGAGTATAACAACATCATGACACGGACCACTGCCGGTATAAACAACATCATGACACGGACCACTGCCGGTATAACAACATCATGACAGGGACCACTGTCGGTATAAACAACATCATGACACGGACCACTGCCGGTATAACATCATGACACGTACCACTGCCGGTATAACAACATCATGACAGGGACCACTGCCGGTATAACAACATCATGACACGGACCACTGCCGGTATAAACAACATCATGACACGAACCACTGCCGGTATAACAACATCATGACACGTACCACTGCCGGTATAAACAACATCATGACACGAACCATTGCCAGCATCAACAACATCATGACACGTACCACTGCCGGCATTAACAACATCATGACACGTACCACTGCCGGTATAAACAACATCATGACACGTACCACTGCCAACATCAACAACATTATGACACGAACCATTGCCAGCATCAACAACATCATGACACGTACCACTGCCGGCATAAACAACATCATGACAGGGACCACTGCCGGTATATGAACAATGGGTACCACTGCCGGTATAACAACATCATGACAGGGACCACTGCCGGTATAAACAACATCATGACAGTGACCACTGCCGGTATAACAACATCATGACAGGGACCACTGCCGGTATAAACAACATCATGACAGTGATCACTGCCGGTATAACAACATCATGACACGGACCACTGCCGGTATAACAACATCATGACATGACATCGTACCACTGCCGGTATAACAACATCATGTACCACTGCCAGCATCAACAACATCATGACACGAACCATTGCCAGCATCAACAACATTATGACACGCACCACTGCCGGTATATCAACATCATGACACGTACCACTGCCGGTATAACAACGTCATGACACGTACCACTGCCGGCATTAACAACATCATGACACGTACCACTGCCGGTATAAACAACATTATGACACGTACCACTGCCAGCATCAACAACATTATGACACGTACCACTGCCGGTATATCAACTTCATGACATGACCACTGCCGGTATATACAACATCATGACAGGGACCACTGCCGGTATAACAACATCATGACACCTACCACTGCCGGCATTAACAACATCATGACACGTACCACTGCCGGCATTAACAACATCACGACACATACCACTGCCGGTATAACCAACTACATTCCATAACCCAAACATTCTACAGAACATGTATATAATAGTACAATACTACAGTAGTATACGTACATTTACCTCTGTTACTTTTTTACTTTAGTCTATTTGTTTTACATTGTTGCCAGTCCGGTTGTCAGACTGAAATTTGTGGGAATTTACACACTGTCACTATTACAGTGTTCATTAACTTGCTTTTATTCCCTATTCCGGCTGTTCCCTTTTTATTGATACTTCCCTTCAAATTTACAGATTTAAATATGCAAGAGCCCGAATGGCCGTGCTGTTTGTGCAGGGCCAGATTTTTGCCGGTTTAATAGTGCCAGTCCGTCCATGTTTTATCCCCATAACGAGTGATCATTGCCATGTTCAACATTTTTTGATAAGACACGCTTGGGGATCGACCTTTGTTTCAAATCAAATATTCTATGGAAAATCCATTGTTTTGTTCAAGGGCAAACTCAACACGATTCCAGCTATATGACGGTAGTCTGTAAATAATCAAGTCTGGACCAGACAATCCAGTGATTGACATCATGAGCATCGATCCTCGCAGTCGGGATATGATAACATGCATCTACCATGTCAACAAACCTGAAGTACCGATCGCATTAGTTGCATATTAGGTGAGGCATGGGTTGCTGAAGATGAATTCTAACCCACATCTTCATGGAATATATTATAAACATGTTTATGTGAATGCATCGGCTGTCCTCCATCACAAACAAACACAAATGCAAATGGAGTGTTCACCCGAAAAAGATAACAACATTTGAGCCAAACTTCAAAATTTTAATGTAAAGCATATCATAAGCACCATAAGACAGTTATGCTTATTTGCAAGATAAAGACAATAGGTAAATATTAGTAATAAAAAATGAATGTCATTCCTTAGCAAATATGGGGTAATACATACAATACATACATGTGCATATACTAATAGAGAGAGGCCAATATACAGCAAGTAACCTAGGCGAAAAAGCTGTGTTACAGGAAGATATTGGTCCCCAAGAAAGGTAATATTTAGAATTGTAAAACTGAAGAAAACAGCAATGAAACATTTGAATGTACATTATCTGACATCTTGGAATGACTGACAACTAGCATATAATCGTTCTAACACTTGTAACACATGATCCACATTATCAACCGCCTAAGTAATGCTGCGATGACCTAAGAAGGTCGAACATTAAGCAAATCAACAACAAAAGTTGAACAGTCCAAACATGTTTACTCCGTCTTTCCCTCCCTATCCGAGAACGTCAGCTGGCGTCAGTTACCTGGGTAAGTCCATACATTAGAAAAACGCTTCCTTAAACATTATTCTCACCTGCACAGGTAATGTGTAGTCATGTCTATCGTTCCTGTTTTCTAGATATTCATGTTTTTCTTGAACTTTGTAGATTCATGTGCCCAAACGGTAACCTTATCATACGATTCTTTTATGCTGTGTGTCCCAAAGACAACTGGAATAGTGTGAGACATGTTTCCCCAAGTAAAGATCGTTGACCTGTCATAATGTAAGTGCATGAACGTACAACCGCAGACTGATTGCGTGAGTGAGTGAGTCAACGCAGTTTGAGTCAGTATTTTAAATATATTATGACGTGTCACTGTCAGGTCAGTCTGGGAAGACAGCACGTGTTTACAAAGTATGTTGTCCCCAGCTGGAATAGAACCCCTCCTTGGACCAGTGGGTAGAGCGGTCGGTTTTGAGGATATATATAAAAGACTTGCCAGTTCGGAGTCATCACTCACACGGGCATGGACAGACAGAACCACCACAAAAGACATTTCAGTAAAAACAGTAAACAGAGGTTACCCCCAAACAATCAACGTGACCTTGAACGACTATATACAGAGTCTAAGATGATACATTTCTCTCTAAATTACTGGTATTACACTTTAACAAGTGACAGATAATTGTTTCACGACTATGAAGAGATGCACTTGACACGACAGATGAATGTCTCCGATGCCAGTTCCCACCAACAAAGCTCGTGTTGATTTCATTCAGCGAAGCAGACACCAATTTGCATAAAGGATGGCGTTACAATCTTTTTTTCAATCATTTAGATGTAGACTGACGACAATAACAGAATGTCATCCCACGACATGGGAATAACAGCACTCTGGCTTCCAAACTGGTGTTAAGAACTGAATATCCTCACGATGTGGGAAAATGAGCTTTCTGACTGATGAGTCACCATCCCCCAAACGTAGATACGATACATCTATTTTCTCTTTGGACCTGGCCGTGATGATGATAGGTTTACTGGTGCTAGTGGCATAAAATGCCAATCATCCACTAACCAGGTCTACCACTAATTACATCACCTGAAAATAGAGGGTCAAGCGTCCATAATGAAACTAACTCGCCGATACAAGTACAGAGTGTACAAGTGTAGAGTGAAATGTTTCATGGGAAGGGAAGACATGCTAACCAGTACAGGTACTGGTGTTTATATCAAGCGCCAGTGGTGGTTTAGTGATTCATGGGCACATGCCTATGATACAGTTGGCATCGGACACTGGAGTGTGCCTCTTATTTAATTAGAAACTGCTCAGTCTCAGCACCCCGTTGTTTGGACATTCTCTGATCCAAAGGTCATGGTTGTGTTGAGGATGTAGGCGTTGTTTGCTCCTTGGCCGACCCAACCTTTCCGCATCACGAAGTTGTAGTCCAAGTCGTCCTCGTTGATGTCTTCATTGGACGGTACAGACAACCACAGCCTCCGGAGTCCTGGACACAAGTGGATGTATTTGAGTTACAACACCATGTTATTTAGTTTGTTTCACGAACATTTATTACACGTTAAGGTTAATCTCATTATGGGCAGATCAATAGTTTACGCTACAACTGACAATTCAAACCGTATAACCTAATCACGTTATTCTCACAGTACAACGTTCCAGAAAACATACATCTTTAGGGAGATTGTTTGCCAGAAACATCATTAGCTAATCTGGACTGCTGCTTTTGTAAGAGTAGGTAGGCTTGAGTAGGTTTACCACGTTGTATTTGAGGATACACATATGTTAATTCTTTGATTTCATTTTTTGATAACTATAACTTCAAATGTTATATTTAACACCAATGACACTTAAGAACTTGTGGGATGATAAAACATTTCATTAATATAATGTCCTTGTCAACACGAGATAGGATGGTTTGTTTCCGGTTTCAGTTTTATTTCTCATTGTATTTGGTAAAATAACGTATGTGACTGTTCAGCTGTGCACGTACCCTCGCCACCACACCGGCAATAGCACAGAGC